TTTTTTTTTTTTTTTTTTAACTCAAGAGGTAGAAATGTGTGTGTGAACTGTAAGACTACATTTCTACACCTGCTTCTGCAAAGTGTGGTTTACCACACTTTTATGCTACCATTTTATGTTACCTTCTACATGTGTGACAGTACATTAAGAGCAGTGGAGAATTGGAGCCATCTTTTTAGCCAGATGAAATGCAATATAAAACTGACAACTTTCAAAACCAGTTTCCAAGGCTAATACAGATTTCTCAGTGACAACTTTTCAACTTAATTGTTTAGGTACAGTTTTTATAATATTGGACAAAAATCTGTTTCAAACTAAATCTTCAGGGAGCTATTTATAAACTAGATCAACTTTTTGTTTCTAAAAAGCTTGAAGATTCTCCGTTGCTTCTGTGTATCAAGGTACAAAAATACGTACAGCTATAAAAATACTTTTCAGTGAATAAATTAAATGTGCAGTGGCTTTACATGAATGGTATCAGCAGTTATATATTCTATGTAGTTTTTCAAACCATATGTTTAATTTTAAATAAAGTGAATGCTTTTAATCTTGACAAGAAATGCTACAAAGGCAAGGTCCCTGGGAACTTCATCCAGTGCTGAGACATAGTAGAGTTTCTTCATCCAGTGCTGAGACATAGTAGAGTTTAATTGCAGTACTTCCTCAGTGGGTGTTCAGTTAATTTCCTTTGACATGTATACCTATGCTATTGTCCTTGGCTACTGAAAATATTAACACTTTTTCCACCAGCTTTCTGGTATATTAGTATAGTATAATCAGAGCTAAACAAACTTCTCCCTGACAGAAATTGTAAAAATAAGAATGGTTATAAATCTCTAGCCTTATTTAAACAAATTGTATCCAATTAGTGCACAAATTACGTTAGTTTAATCTCAATGTAGCCATGTGTATTTCCTTTCAGGGTGTCGATGATGCCTTCTATACATTAGTTCGAGAAATTCGAAAACACAAGGAGAAGATGAGCAAAGATGGTAAAAAGAAGAAAAAGAAGACAAAGACAAAGTGTATAATTATGTAAATACAATTTATCGTTTAGTCTTTAGACGTACTTAAGTGATTTTTTTGTACATTACACTAAATTATTAGCATTTGTTTTAGCATTACTTAATTTTCTTTCTGCTTCATGAACCTGTTAGTTTTATCTGAATGCTTGTTTTAAATGACAGTGGTAACATTATTCCTCTTAAGTGCCAGTATGCCTGTGAAAAAACAAACAAACATGAGAATTGTCTTTTTTGGTGCATGCACAGTTACTAACTTCCTATTTTTCTTATCAGTTGTGAACTTTTGTTCTGTGCGCAAACAATAATGAAGTAATGGTCCACAGGTTGTTTGGTTTTGTTTTTTAAAACATGGCTTTTACTGTGTTTTTTTTCTTTCCCTCTAATCTGGTTGGGTAGAAAGACTAGCTAACAAAACAGACTTTTATTTCCAACATTTGTTTTCTTTTATTCTAGACTGACTGCAATATTGAGAGACCAGAAGCCTTTTTATAGTCTTCCTATAGATTCTGCTTTTAGGCATCTAGTCTTGTAGCATTTCAGATCAACTTTAATGAATGTAAAGAAGTAACTTTCACAAAGTTTTTCACTGCAATTTGTCATGGTCATTCTTTAAATGCTATATTTTTTCTAGAAAAAAAAAATTAAAAAAAAGACGACAATGCACATCTGGCAATGGAAAAAGTAAAAGTTCTGATTAGATTGAGTTGCTCTGGTACTGCATTGCTTTAAGACTTCCACTAAATTTTTGGTTTTTGGAAGACCTAGGGTGAAGTCCTACCTCTTCTGAAGCTGGTGGAAAACCTCAAAGTAGCTTCAGTAGGTCCAAGATCTTGCCTTTAGTGTCTCTAACAAGTATGGGAGCGCCTTAACAGATTAGTTAATTCAGTCTCTTAGATTTAATTCATATATGAATTCCAAGTTTATCCAAGAATGAGGTCAAGACCTCTTGGCCATATGGGTGCCAATTCTGCCCCTCCTTCCCCTGTGACATTAAATATTTCCAAATGCCTAATTTGTATATAATAGGAGGCATTTTAAATTCTAGTAACCTCTTTAGTTTCAGTAATTGAATAAGCTTGTTATTCGGCTGCTTCATGCAAATTATTTGAAAATCCATTGTGCCATAAAAATGGTGATATGGAATTTGCACAGACATTCAGTAGACATAGTTGAGATCATGGTTTCCAGAATCAGTGTCATTTTGTGTGATTCTTGTGAAGTGTTAATCCCCCTACCCCTCCAATAAAGTTGGTTAGTGACATAAAAATGTCAGGGTTGTTTCACAACCAGGTTTGTCAATGTTGTTGTATGATTTCTGGTTGGAATTGATGAATTATTTTGAAGTTTTAAATGGTAGTACTGCAGTAGTTTGAGTTATCAGCACTGAAGTAAGTCAGTAATTCTAGTGTTGTCTATTCTTGTGATTTTGTGAGTCTTGTAGTATATGACTTTTTTTTTTTTAAGCCCCAGCTCCTGGATCTGTAAGTTTACATGAGAATCTCAGCTTCCTTTTTTTTTTTTTTTTTTGTTTGCTTTTTAAGAGAGCAGTTAGCCGTTGTTGCAAAGTAAGGATTGAAAACATAATCGCCCCAGTGTATTTTAAAGGATAAAAGAGAAGATTAGATAAATACGAAACAGTTTTTCTTTAAAGCCTTGTGATGTTTTGGGAAGCCTGATTTGTGAATTCTGAAAGTTCAGAATAGGGAAAAGCAGTATCGTGTATCCTAAGTTTTATATCAAAACTTTTAATTGGAGTTTATATACTGAGTTGATAGAGTAGGATTTTAATGCACCAGTGTAACTTGAAGCCATGTGTATGAGTATGCAGGATTACCTTTTTATTTCTACCCACAGAGCAGAGGTGGTCACATTTGAAGGAAGCAAAAAGTATCCTAACTGGATAGCTCTTAAAGTTGGCTGAGGAAGTAATAAGACTACTACCTTAATAGCCTTTAAGATTTGGGTCTGGGAAAGAATGTAAAATTCTTTGGATGTGGGTAATGCTACCCTTCATACTGCTTACAATACTGAAAGATGATCATAGGAGAACCTAACCATATATTTTAAATAGGACCAATAAGAAATGAGAACAAATACCTATAGATGTTGTAAGCCTCTTCTATTCACAATTTCTAAGGTTAAAACATATTGAAGTTGAGAGTTGTGTTGGTTGTCTTTCCATATTTCAGATGCTACTATCAATGTATTTTGAATAATGTAGCAGAAGTGGATGGTGTTAACAAATGCATGAAATGAAATATAAAGACTCATGATTTGTAACCGAGTCACACGGCATGCCAACTTGGGTCTTGTCTAAACAGTTCATGCACTGGCTTAACTAAATCCTTAGAAGACTATTGTAGTCTTCTGTGGATGTAGTTTTTTCAATATGAAGGCATACAGTAGGGCTTTGTGAAGCTTCAGTGGCTGATTCAATCTGACAGATTCGGCCTGATTCAGTGGCTGAATCTCTGAATCCAGATCGAATCCGGAGACCCTTTAATCTCTCCTAATCGAATTGGAACCCTCCAAATCGATTCAGAAAGATTCGACAAATCAAACATAGATACAGTTTTAAATGTTTTTTCTACATACCTCAAGGTACCGGGCGGCTTATGAATGCTGAGATGCTGGGGCAGATGGAACGTCCCACTGGATCACAGGGGGTCCCCAGCAGTACTTCAGTACACTTCCAGGTCTGTCGGGGAGCGCACTGGCTCTCCCCCCACCTCTTCTGGCTCAGCGACTGGTGCCTCCTGGATCTGGCAGGGCACCTGAGATTCCCCCATGCTTCTGTGGGATGCTCCACCCTCCCCACCATCACAGCATTCACAAGCTGTGCCTGGTACCTCAAGGTATGTAGAAAAACACTTAAAGCTGTGTCTATGGCTGATTCACTGAATCAGCATCGAATCTTCAGAATCGACTAACTGAATCATTGTCCCCAATTTGGGCTGAATCCAAATTGAATATGGCCCATTTTGCACATCCCTAGTATACAGCTTATTTTATCTAGTTTATTCTGTAAACTATCAGTTTTGTTAAATTTGGTACAGAAATGGTTTAGAATAAGTCCTTTTGTGATTTTTCACAAAACACTTGTCCTTGCCAGTATTGTGCAGTTTTGTCCTAATATTTGTAGAGATTTGGTGAAGCATGTTGGATTGCAGCTTGCACAAATTGATCTTTTAATTATTCTGATGTCTTTCCCTATTTGAAATGCTTTAAAAAACATCCAGATACTTTTTCTGATGGTAATTACAAAATGAACATGCAATGACACTTACTACATTAATACACTAGATTTCCATGTGTCAGGGAGTAATGCCTTATAGTAGCTTTGTGTAGCTTGATAGACAATCCGTATAAAAAGGTTGTCATGTATCTCAGAAGTTAAAATTGTTTTTGTTTGTTTTTTAACCATCACAGTAGTCCTAAAATCTTGAGTGACTTAGATCATGAGAAATTTAATAGTCCAGCATGCATTACAGCAATATTGTTTTTTCCTATACATAAATACTGTTATGTAAACTTCAAGTCTTTTGTTTGTACTATGAAGCAATGCAGCTGTTACTTTCAAAGGACACCAAGCTGTAAGCAAGTCAGGGTTCTTTTTATTTGTTTGGTTGGGATTTTTTTCTTAATTCTACATAAAGCTACATAAGCAGTGAATCTTTCCTAACTAACATTTCTTAATTCCACTGTCTTGTGTTTTCATGTTGAAAATACTTCTGCTTTTTCCTCTCCAGTGCCAACTTCTTACTAGAACAATTTCTTAATGTAATATGTTTACCTGGAATGTATTTTAACTATTTTTGTATAGTGTAAACTGAAACATGCACATATTTGTACATTGTGCTTTTTGATGTGGAACATATGCAGTGTGATCCAGTTTTTACATCATTCAACTGCATGACCAAGGAATGTTGGTCATACCAGATATTACATTTTTTTTAAAAATGACCACTGTTTAAACTTTTTAATGTTGTTTTATAGGAGTATGTGCTGTGGGGTGATCTGGAATTTGTCATTTTTGTCAAACTGTACTGCTCCTATTTATTGTAATGTAATAAAAGATAGTTATTGTGAGTCTTTGCTGTTTAATTTCCTGCTGCTTTGAAGAATTTAAGTGCTAATGTCTTATAGTTCAATAGCTGACCAACTTCATGTGTTTTAATAGCTTCCATCTCAATTTCCTCTTACGTATTTAATTGCCAGCCAAACTGGCCTTGTCTCTGCCCATCAGTGTTTGTACAAAGAAAACCTATTTTACTTTGCCGTAAGCCATTCTGTCCAGAGAAGTCTTTCCTTATGAAAGCTTCAGTGAATAAACTGGGGCATAACACTAGGTCAGTGATTTGTCAACTAGGGTGATGCAAGATCCTTTTTTAAGGGTGACCAGCACCTAGCCCCTGGTGTGAGGGAGGTAAGTGCTCCCAGCATCCTGTGGGCAAGCAGTACCTGTAGCTGCTCCTCTGGAAACTGCTGCTGCTGCCCTTCACCTGCTGGCAGTCCCTGTGTTGGCTGCCCCCATACTCCAACACTGCACTCTGCCATGGGCGGCTATGAGGACGTGGAGCTGTGCTTCTCAGTCTGGCTTGTGTCTCTCTCCCCCTCCTCCTTCTCCCATGCCCCCTTAGTTGCTTCTTCCATGCTCCCAGGGCCAGCAGAAGGGGCTTTAAGGGTAAGTGACTCTGGTTGCCAGCCTGAAAGATACAAGAGGAGCAACTTCAGCAGAGGGAGTGCCTTTATTCTCTCAGGTATATATGGGGCAGGAAGAGGGTAGACAGAGTGGGACACCACGTTTACTTGGCATCTGCTAGATCAGTAGTTCTTGACTTTCTTTTAGCCTCAAGGCCCTTTCCAAAACTTTGTCAAAGGAAGAGGGAGAGCAGGTTAGGCTGTGAAGATCAGCAACAGTGCAAGGCAGGGAAGGGGCCACATCAGTCCAAACTGCTTGATGTTTATCCCCCTTGCCGCAGGCCAGATCTAGTCACTTTGGGGTCTACATCTGGCCTGTGAGCTGTAGTATACTATAGACTGTTAGTCAATCTCTTTAAATACACCTTCAGTGTATTGTTCCATGTGGAGAGTGTTAGTAGCACTGCTATGTTTATTACGGTTTTTGCACACAATGGAAAACAGTCTCATACAGCAACTATTTCCAGTATTAACCATTTGAGATATTTTCCAAGTTGGGTGACTGCCTCAGGCTGAACTTCTTTCAGAATAGTTCAGCAGTTTGAATTTGGCTGATACTTTTCAGAGATGGTTATTAATTGAACACCCAGGAAACTGAATGCCTGATCCCACAGGTTTCTGATGCATAGAAGTGCTGAAGCTATGCCTTGGTGTAGGAAGTGCTAACTATTCTAAATGCTAGGTCCTAGGTTTCTCAAATTAGGTACCTAAGCTTAGAGGATGTTTCTAGCTAGGGTATCTTTTCTTCGATTCCCAACCTGAAGAGTGGGTATAATACCTTCTCTCAATACTGTGGTGATGTCTGAAGCACTTGCTACAATATACTGGTGATGACCCCCCCCAAAATAACAATTCTTTATTCAGAGTAGGGTATATATAGGGTGTAGCACATGAAGCCAGACCTTTGAACAAGAAAACAAAACTAAATAGTAGCTCTGTTAGTGAACAATAACTATTTTACTGCATTAAGGCACAGATTCAGATGCATAAATTTCACACAGTCCAGCAAAGAACAATGAAAATGATTGGAGAAACATGATGTATGAGGAAATGGTGCAAAAAATAAAATTTTATTTTGGAGAAAAAAGAGACTGGGTGGGATTTGATAACAGTCTTCAAATCAGGGCTGGGCAAAACATGGCCTATGGGCTGCATCTGGCCCACGGCTGCCCCCCCACCATGCTCCACATAGGCCTGAGCTCCACTCTCTCTTGTTGGGGCAGCCTATACTTCCACAGGCCCAGGACAGGACAGCTTCTGGTGGCACTGTTCCCAGTGTGACTGCAGCCAGCTGGATGCTCCTTTGTTCCCCTCACCTCCAGCAGGAGCAGCTGAGTTGAAGACCGTCCCCACCCTGAGCAGTGCAGCAGAGACAGGAACAGGAGCAGGAGGAGGAGCAGCTGCTGGAGATGAGTGGTGCATAGCAGCACCTTGCTGGCTGCAGCCACATGGGGAACTGCACGCTTGCTGGGGCTGTTTTGCTCCCTTAATCTCCAGCTGTGGCTGCTGCTCCTACCCCTGCAGTGTCTCCCTAGGTGGATAGGAAGCTTCAGCTAAGTGGCTCCTGCCCAGCGCACACAACTATGGCTCTAGCTCTCAGCCACCTGCTCTGCCCACCTGCAGGTGGCTGCTCGTTGTGCCAGGTGGGTGGCTAATGGGCAGAAGGCAGCTGGGAGCTAGAGCCAGAGCTTCGCTTGCTGGGCAGGAGCTGCTTGGCTGAAGCTTCTCACCCACCTGCTCATATGTTGTCTTTTTTAGGTCTTTTTGGAGGTGGTATGATTAGAATTATGGAATTGCTTTGAATTTCCATATGTTAGCTGAATTGGTGTGTAACTGCACATTCTCGTGTGCAGAATGAAGAATGACTTTGTTGTGAATTGAATGAGCTGCAGTTAAACATACACAGAATGTCATAGATTTCTTAGATAAGTAATGCTCAAGAAATCTAGTTCAACTGGGGATTGAACCTGTGACTCAGCTAAATTGTCTTGGGGGGGAGGGGGTGCACACTTTAGCTCACAGTTCAGAGGTATTTAAAGGAGGACAATGGATCGGCACATCTCGAGGTAGAAATAGCTGTCACTGAACCAAAGCAAAATCCCCACAGCAGATCTGCTTTACTAGGTGACGCACCTTGCCCCTTGTGCTAAATCAGGCCCACTGCCTAATGCAGAACAAGGGGCAGTAAGTTTCCCCTGCTTGGAGATTTCCTGGGTTCCTTGTTGCCTACATCAGGACCCACGCTGACCAATGCCTTATGTGGAGACACAGGTCTACATAGGTACTGGTGCACAGAGGCACCAGGCTGACTAATCTCTATTGATATGAAACCCAATGCCTGTATGTTCTCTATTTTTCTCTTCAAGGATTCCACCCACTGTCACCTATTATAGTCCAGGATGTGGGTGGGTGTGGGGGCTGCTTAGGAAGGGGGGGTCCCCTGCATGAATACTGAGTACCACCAGCGGCTGCCATGCACTGGTGGTGGCAGGAGTGGTAAGTGAGGAGCTCCCGCAG